ATATTAACAGGAACTGCGCAGGCGTAGTCCAACCAGAATGGCGCCCATGTGATAACAAAGTTTCACGCGTATTCAATGGTGAAGTTCCCCATCTTGCGCCGCTACGCGGCGTTATACGATCTTTGGTTGGAACGTTGATTTTCGGCCGTTTTCCAATACTCAACTTCGGCTCCGTCTCAGGCTTCAACTGTTTTTTAACTAGCTGACGTTGAAGCTGTAAGCGCAGTAATTAGTTTAATAGTGCCACAAAACATCAAATATGATGCAAGAGAGCCAGAAATTACAGTAATCAAATTGCAATGCCCTTAATCAGCTTATAGAGATCACTGAATCCACTCGCGGCCATTTTACCGAGCCGAATACAAAGCTTTCCTGGCAATGCCCACCTTTGGTCTTCCTGAAGTCAACGGAAGGGAGCCACCCCCACCCTTTTGTATTCGGCTCGGTAAAATGGCCGCTGGTTGGCTTCTTCATACAATGGCATTGCAAGTCCAGGTTTTTTAAATTCGTCCGTGGGATAGAGCCTGAGAGTAAAAGGTCACGCAGCAAGTTTCTGGAACCCTCGCGTGGTCCGCCTATGGGATTTTACATGGGGTCGTCCTATCACGCTCGATAATTTGGGGACGAATGATTCCTAAACGAAACCATTCAAAGAAACATTAATGTCGTCATTTTACCCTTGTGTTCCTTTTTAAAGTGACATTTCAGAAAAGTTTCCTCGATATTTGTTAAAAACGAAATTTATAAGCGACCCTTCACTTCCGGCAATATCGTTTTTGGGTCTTTTTGTTCATGCATGTTTGTTTGCAGTCAGATAACTCGGTGTACCCGATTTGTTTCAAATTTAACTCGCAAAGGCTTATTGTACTCGAAATACTACTTTTGACCGATTCATTTGATAAGAACAAAGAGACTAACAGGATTATACCAATAGAACAAGGTTAACTTATTGATGTTTAAGGTACAGTCGGCTCGGGTGAACAGCATCCCCGGGCCTGACCCACTGAAAGGAGTAGGACTTTTTCCTCAGGTGAACTGCTATGTTTGATACGAGTCAAAGTGGTTCCATATTAAACCTTATGATATAGGCATGATTAGACTACGCCCCTTCATTATCTCGCTACCGGGATTCAGTCACTGGCTGGTACAAATGTACGTGTATATATGTCCATAGAAAAAGTAGGCCTAGATGCTAAATTAGCCTGTTTACACGATGCTAAAAGTCCACTGGTTGTTTTTGGTGACTGTGGAAGATAAAATCCACAATTAACCGACAAATGACTTGCCGAAGTTAAAGTTCAGCATGGTCGAACTTAGAACCTTGAGAACCACCGTGCTGACCTAAAACTTGGCAGTTGTCTTGTAACAGAAAAAAAAATTATCAGCCGGTGGTCTGCATTGTTATTAGCTCTGATTTGGGAAGTACCAGTCACGGTGGTCAGTTGGTGAATGAATTATCTCCCACACGTAGGCAAGGCCCGGCCAAAAATAGACTATAGAACTTCTTTTTATTCCTGTTACTGATCATAGGTCGTGATCGCTTCTCAAAAGTAGGGGCACAGGTCTGCAAATTGCAGCATAAAGGGTTTTTATTTGATATTCACTATTAACGGTTATTCTATCCAGAGGGTGGAATGGAACGCCATCGAATTAATTCAGTTAACTACAGTGGCACTGGAGTAGACCTGGGTCGTTCACTGTATCAGATTAATTACAAACTTTGTTTTACATTATGCTCCCTCTATTGTGCATGCATCTCGCAGCAGAGACATACACTGGCGGTACTGGTGGCTATCATACGAGAGGCTCACACGTGTTAGCTGATAGAACCACTTGCACAGCCGTGGGCAACGGAGACCTTCCATGACCAAAATAAAGGGATCATTATTTTAACATATTTATATAACGAGAAAGCCTATTTAAGAGGACTAGGCTTCATTTATCTTCCTTCCCAGAGCGCTCCAAAAGTTAGCCACACACCGGAGAAAAAGCTCTGGGTCCGCCCTTGAATACGGGCGATTCACAATTGTGCCCTCCAAGAGTTTGCAACGCGTTGGCCAATCACAACGTGCAATTTGTGGACCGTTTCCAAACGCGCATTGGGTCGACAGATTTTGTGCATTAAGATTGGCCAACCTGTTGCAAACTCTTGGAGGCGCACTATTGTGAAACGCCCGTATTGAACGCACGCAAAGACGGAGTCGTTGAAGACTAGTAACGCGTACGAGCGCGCTGGTTCCACTGCAATTATTCTCGTTCTCAGAGTCTGCACTGGAATGAGGCCGTGTCCCGAACTTTCAGAACTACAGCCAGGTCCATTGTCTGCGCGTCTCCGCCTAGTTCTGATAGAGTGAATTAAATCTGGCTCTAGACAACGGATTCGGATGCAGCCTCTGCTACATGCCACTCTCAGGCTGCATGGTTTGGTCACGTAGGCAATCGCCTTATAACCTGCCCCACACCTTTCCGATTTGACCTATTCATCGGATCACGTACGGGTCATATTACATCGGCTACCAGATGAAATCAAACTTGTGCACATCCGATGCACCAGGTGTTCGGCCAACCCACCCATTCCCCGAATACAATCGGCGACGTTAGTTTTAAACAATCAGAAAGTTACATGATTGAAAATGGACTGAGTCCCATTTAAAGTTAATTTTTTAGTGTAATAATTTGCACGATTATCGTTAAAGAAAAGGTGAGCTTACTCTAGGAGCTTGGCATTGATAGGCATTTGATAATGTTTATTTTGGTGGGTGACGCTCAACATCAACCCGAAGAACAATGAGGAAATTCCCCCAAAGGCTGGTCTAAGGGCAGACTACATCACATATAGAATCTTGCTGTCTCAAGCATTTTAGGGTAGGGTAATTTCAATTCGACTTTGTTGGTCACTTGTAGTTTGTATAGTGTCCATCCCAGACGCAGATCATACAGGCAAAAACCAACACTGGGCCTGAAGGCCTTAGGAAATGAAATTATCTGTGTACATAAAATGATATTCCTAGGAGAGACAAGTATATAAAACGTACAAAAGATAACAAAAGAAAAATTGCCTAGTGACAGTAAAAGAGATCAGTTTTACTAGACAAGCTTGCCTTTGCATGTGTCAAAGAAGGGTGCGGTCAGATAAAAGGACAGATAAACGGGTCGGACACGAACAGACACCAAGATTTACGGCAAACAGTGATAACCAGCTTATTTTCTTTATTCAAGTTTAAATACGCGCTTCTCCAAGAAATGGGATAGATTATGACCCAAAATAAAATGGCACTCACCTGCTACAGCCAACAGGAGAAGTCCCCAAACACACAGGCCAGCCATGGTGATCTTGCTCCAAGTTCAAGAAATCCACGGCGAAGCTTCATTTGTTGGTGTGACTGCACGAGAGGCCTGTTGGGCCATATATATCGCCGTGATTTCCTTATCTGGAGGGGCATCACATAATAATTAGACCCGCAGCTGTCTGATTCCAAAAGTACAAACCGAAACTTCAAGCCGTGTGTACTTATCTGGCAACCAAAAATGTGCAAAGGTCTGTTACACTTTGGATGAAGCCAGTTTGAATTTTTGTTCTCTATTTACGATGTTTATTGGCTATCCAGTATTTGCTTTTATGGTCACTCCCCAGAATAATTGCTTATTCTTATTTACTGACTTTTGTACCGAAACAGAGGGTCAGAAAAATGAACAAAACGCTCCTATTTCCACAAGTCTTTTGTAATTCAACTTGTCTAGACAGTGGAGACTTTACTCAAACCCACCCGGGGACATGAAACAGAACGAAGAGAACGTCTGAGGCATCACTGATCATTACTTTTCTTCCCACTTGGTAATGTTGTGCTCGCTCGTCCAATGCGATTAGCTGGGTACAGAAGCGAGCTCAGACGAAGCTTCCATTCGTGCGTTTTAATGTACCAGTTTAGGCCCGATATTATTTGAAGCAAGATATGCATGGACGGCGAGCCACCCCCTTCTGTTGGTCATTGTTTCACTGGAACCTCAGGAATTCTTTTCAGATATTTGGGAGGGTGTATTAGGTAACAGTAGTTTCGTGGGTTTTGGACATGGGGGGATCCATTGTGTTGCTGGGTATCGGGCGATCACTCAATATTGTTGTAAGATTCGTCGACAGTTCTGCCATCGGCCAGTCACTTGTCTTTCTAATTCACGGCTGTGAAAGATTATTTTCAGAAAAGGGAAGCAAAGTAGGAGATTTCATACCAGATCGACCATTCATGGAGAGCGATCGGGTTATCGCACAAATCAGTCTATCTCACGCGCCCAATATCAAAGTACAGCTGTGGAATTCGACAACCAGAATTAGACTCGGAAGCCATCACTGCGATGGCATAACTCTTCGACCAATGGGGTGTCGCGTGATTTGCCAAATGCACGCGCGCGTCAAGCTGAAGAATGTGCATGTGGGTGCCGTGCCATGTACCGCAGTTATGGCGGATATGTAATTTACCCTCTCCAACTGTCACCTTGTCCAGCCAAGCCTATGGTGGAAGTATGTAAACATTTACTTCAACCTCCACCCCTTTTTGATTACGCTTTGTTTCGTATATCAGAGTGCATTCACATTCTCCCTTTCCATTACACAGCTAAGTATATCCTTACTGAGAACAAAACGACATTTGTAAGGATGATCTGCCAACCGACAAAATAAGTATAATGTGTTTGGTTTTGTCACACTGCGTAAGTATAATGAGCACATAGGGACTTTCAAAGTGATACGCGCTATAGAAATAATAACGTTGTATTATTACTATTATTATTATTTAGATACCCAGTATTTGAAGAAATGTATGCAATTGCCGATTATTTTGCTCTTTATCTTTTACATCCAGAGCAACTTTTAAAAAATAATGAACTTCTTATCATTGTTTTCAATACTTAGTTCTCGTTCAATCTATGGGGCACAGAAACCTCTTGTCCTCTTTCTGAAAAATGGCGCTTAACTTGTGGGAATTTTACTCGCTTTAGAAAAGATTAGGCCTAAAGTGAAAAAGTCTCCCCAAATCACCCCGTTCTCATCATTAATGTTTTAATCCTTTGGGGCATGGTTCCCATTCCCCAACCCGTCATCTAGTGAGCGCAAGCAATACTCCTCCATACGCTGAAGGTATAGGGTCTGCAAATCTAGGTTAATATCGGACTAAGTTGTTTTGCTCACATCTCCTCCTACTTCTCAAACAAATTAAACCGATAGTTCCCTTGCGAAGCGACGATAATTTTTCAGTTTGTTTGTTTACTCGATGACAAATTGCAGAGTGGTTCAGAGTCGCTGTTGATCAGGGCACCGTATTGCGGCATCCCTTGCATTCTGAACAACCAATCGCTGTTATTGGGAGGCATAAATGAATGTACACATGGTGCCATGCTGTGCCGTGTGCTACTTCAACAGTGCTACTGTGCATGTTGTTTACCATTAATATGAAATCATTGTAGCCGTTCAGAGATCAGAAACATAATGAGTACAGCGATGATGGGGTGTGGGTGATGGTGGCCCTTTACTGCACCCGAACTTTCAAAATGAGGTAAACACTTCAGTTATCACTCCGACTGGGCAATTACTGTCAGACACACGATTGGTTTTCGAGCTGGTGATGATGAAATCCAGCTGTCTGGCGTTCAGCTGGACATGACTTTGGTGTTAGCTCGGACAGTACTGTCAACCGGGGTAACTTTGGAAGGTTAAAATCATGATCGTTTCTGCTTTTGCAAAAACAGAAATGTTTGTCATTGTTGATTGGATATTTTTGTCATATGACGCCGTAAGTCTAATTTAGTAGTAGCAAACATCCATCCACTTCTTTTAACTTTGAGTAAGAATTTAATGAAGTGCTGCGGGGCAACTTCGGCAGGTTACTAGAATTTAATGAAAAAAAATTATAACAAAGTTTTACCAAAAATTAAGCTTCCAGGTGTATTTTATGATAAAATTACTTTCACATAATCATTTTAGAGAATCTTATATCATTGCGCTGCAAAGATATGACGACTACAAACAAGGAGCTTGGCTTGTGCCAAAGTTACCCAAGAGTGCCAAAGTTACCCCGGTTTACGGTATTCTAACTGTAAGGGTGAGGTCCAAAAGGGGTGGCGCTCGAGGCCTGTGACCCCACTCAGAAATTAGAAAAGGAAAAAAATCTGGTAATGATTCGTCTTGGTCAGTATTTCAACTGTGATCGAACCCACTGAATGTCATCCTTCAGAAAACGAGGGCCTCCAACTGCCTCCCTCCCCGCGAAATGTACTCCTGAAGGGGTGGATCCAGGATTTTTTCCTGGTCGTCAATTTTTTTTCATGTCCGATTGCTACAGACAGGCAAAGGCATAAGTAATGCTTTACATTGTTACTTATGCACTTATATATGTGCACGTAGCAGGATTATCAACTTTTTGTCGTCAATTTATTTTATTTTGATATTACTATAATTTTGTGCCATAGCGCCCCCCCCCCGATCTGCGCTTGCCCAGTAGGGCCCTACCGCTACTACTAGTTACCAACTAATCTCTGTGCTGGTACAAGCTTTACCTGTATCCTGCGTGTTTTACGTGATTATATAGAATTTATAGTCTCAATAAGGCCGCATTCAATGGCGCCACGCGTGCGCCCACGTGTATTCATACCATTGATAAAACCAAACTACTGGATATGAGTACCGGCTTACGTAGTGAGCTGCTTTGCTTAAACCTAACTGGCGTTGGCACTACTGGCAGGTACCATGGGGTGATGGCCACACGCCTAATTTTACCTGACAGGGTGAGTGCGAATTTGAAAGAGCACATACCATATTACACTATAGCCCTACCTGCGTGGAAACTTTGGGAAAACCCCAGAAATTCTGCATTAGTATGTGTTTTTCTCCAGCGAAATAAAGAGGGGTTTGGGGGTTCAATTCCAGCAGGTCAAAAAGTGTGGACCTCACAGCAAAAGATGTACATAGTGTTGGGTCAGAGGACATTGTGTGGACTCGCACAGGTCCACATTCCTCTTTCAGAGCTCAGAGGCGTTTTGGGGCTAGAATAGTCTGTGGAAAGGTCGCGTAGCGCTCAAATTATCATCAACATTCCAGCTTGGAGTTATCATAGAGAAAAAAAACAAAAAAACAGGCACTCCCTCATGTTGTGTGCCAAAAAAAGGAATGTTCACCCTAAGGAGGTGAAAAAAGTATAATGCATTGTGTGGGGGTGATTTCCTCCACCCCTTGGTTTTAAGAACTATGCCTCTTTGCATGTCAGTGTTCTTTGATATCCCCCTCACGACGGCGGCGGCGGAACAATTTTCAATGGGGGGTAGTTGAGACCATTAGGAATCAGCTATTAATGAGCCAATCCATGAAGTCCCAGGAAATTATTGGACCTGCAGGACTGGGGGGGGGGAGTCCCATCAGCCTGTCTTCCCCTTTGCTGGTGAGGGGGTGATTTTAGTCAAAGCTGCTCCAGAGATAATGGCGACGGTTACTCTCATAACACCCCAATTCCGTCTAGCTTAAACTTTGGTAAAGCGCAACATTAATGATCGTAAATCCACCTGTAGCGTTCCCTCCTTGGTGGGGCTATACCACTGTACTATGAGACGGAATTTATACAAAGTATGCATTCTCATTACTTACTAGGCCGGATCCAGCCCCCCCCTTTTTGGGGGGGTGAAACAAGTAAGCAGCAATCACAACTGATCGCACCTGTCAACACTTACTTGAATAGCAGTGCTCAGAAACAATTTCCTGAATAAAATGGCTCTATATAAAACAATCTCCGTTAAAGACACTTAATATCTTCACTCTGAATAATAAAACAATCCTCTTCGTTTTTTGGGGGATGGCACCCCCACTGGCCCCTCCCCTTCTGAATTCGCCCTTACTCACCTACCGTCTCCTCACTGACTGTACTTTTTTAAAGGGATTTGACTATACTTATGTTTGGGAATAACGACTGCTCTCTTTCAAATATTGGGATCCAAATAAATGAGAATTAGAAGATATACTCAGCCAACTTGTGGTACAAGACCATAAAATAAAAACGAACTGAGATTGCAAGACCTACATGTTTTCATTTTAGCATTCGACAATGGTCATTTTATGAAAAGTTAATTACTAAAAATGCTTGCAACAGGTCAGGAAGACTTAAAGACTTCAATCCATTAAAAAGAACTTCACAAGCATGATAAAGCGGATATCCATTACACAAATAGATTTGCATTCAAACATTTAAATTTATGTTGCAATGTAAGGAATTTAGCTTTAAAATGTCTTATGTTTTATTGCTTAATGAAATAAGACTTATTACAATTAACTTCTGTACATGCATTAATGTTCCCATACCTATCTTACTTTCAAGACAAATCATCGTTTTTAAAGAGCAACGGCAGACATTTTTTTCCCAGGCGTAAATTATCTATTCTACTCAAACTCTGCAGTGAAATTTACCAAGACAGGAGCGACGGTAATCTGACATTAAAATTAATGTTAAGAAAAAGAGCGTGGATTTTTTTTTCATCCCATGGACCAGTGTGTGTTTGGACTGTCCAATTTTCGAGTAAATGTGCACACTTGTCTGGTCTTCACGGCCTGGTGGTCCTAATAACCATATTGGTCAAATCTGAAAGGTGTGCAGGGGGGGGCAACAGCACGGAGGAGGGAGACTCATATTAAAAGCCCTTTACAGCTTCTAAGGTTATCTGAAAGCCTGGACAGCCACCAGCAGTGACAAATCTTTCGACTGGAAATGGCTTGATGAAGTCATTAGCTGGTAGGCTCTACTGATTGGTGTGTTATTCAAAACAAAAGCTCAACATTTAGCCAATCATAGCCCTCAGATGTGAGGTTGTATCACATGATGCCAGAGTACATCAATCAGGTTCACCGCTCTCGACTGAACTTGCTTCTCATCCTTTCCTTTCACTGATATTTCATTTTCTCACAGGGTCTGTTCTCTTGATGACACAGTCCTATTTTACTACAAATGGCTATTAAAACTACGGTTGGCCATCAGTACAAAAGTAAACAATTCACAACGTGTTCAGAAATCCAACGCAACTATTAGAATACTAGATAAGAATACACATAATACTAAATACGAAAGGAAAATACAACCCTATTCAAAATCAATGGGACAGATGTCCATTTGAAATGAATTGGAAGAAAAAAACCAAAAAACCAGCCAAAAGGTGACATTTATGCAAACTCGGGCCACTCACAGAAACTGTAAGCAATCTAAGAAGGAAAGAAAAGAAAGAACTGGTTGGGAGACTGGTCAGCAACAACTTGAACAAATTCCTCCCACCTTCCCCTTGGGTTGGATTTAATAGTAATTAAAATTGGGTCCGAAATGAAAAGCTACAGTATTTAAAAGAGCGATAGGTACTCCTATGCATCTGCTAATGCTTGGCCACACTGGGATCAAGAACTGGTCTACCACCTTGCGCACAGGAAAGCAGCCCCACTCACTAGGAGTACGGACAGCAAACTGGAGACTGTAGGGGGAAAACAGAGAAGAAATTAGATTATGTCAGACTTGACAGGCCAGACCATCTTTGGATCAAGGAAAACAAAAAACAAAAACACAGCCAAAAATTAGTAGTGTCAGAAGTTGTAGAGTGATTGGAGGTACACATTGTGCATGCAACATTTGAGGATGAACAGGTAAGCCAAAGGTATTAGTCTATGGATCGCACTGTAATACGGTAGCAACAAATCACAGAAGTGGAGTTGGGAGGGGTGTGCCCTCAGCGAGTGCCCCCTACATCCTTTTTTTGTGAGATATCTGTCCCTCCCCTTTTGCTTTTGTTCACAAAAGGTTATTTTATGTACCCCAGATGGCAGAAGAAGAGGCAGGGATTTTTGCCATAATAAGGAGGACTTTGAAACACACTCTGACAGGAATTCTGCATGCAGTGCCAAGAGAGATCTTTGTCCTCAAGTAGGAATGATTTCCATTGAGTTTGTGCACGCACACCGGCTCAAACTAATCGGTGGAGGTTCAGTGTGCGTGAAGCCCTCAAGCAGCCGAGGCTCAAGGATGGGTGTTATGGCGTATGTTGCTCTGTGACTGTTAAAAACTATTTTACATGTCAAATCCTCAGAATGATGTTGGGCCACAAGATCATCAACTTCTTTTCCCATAATGCACTGAGAAAAACAAAGGCCTGTCTGTTTGGTTCAGTTTGGTGACACACAGAATCAGGAATTGTTCTTCAGCAAGCTTCTGAAGAAACCGCATTGTTAATGCAGAGATGGGCCCTAGAGGTGACCAAGTACAGGTACCAAGTACTGTCAAGTGAATTAACTAATTGGGCTCTTGTCCTCTGAGTCTAGCAAAATGACAGAGAAGGAGACACACATGCAGAATAGGCCATTTGCAAGTTAAATTTGAATAAAATCTGGTGCACTGAGTTATCTGACTGCACATAAACATAACGATTTGAATTCCTCAGACTAAAGACACTGTTGCTATACCTCGTGATTCGGGGCAATCTTTTGCATAGCGACCACCATCTCTGGAATGGACTGGTTCCTTTGTGCCCTTCTTATCCATTAAGAACAGTGTATTGTTGCAAGGCATCTGTTATGTCTCTAAGCCAAAGCTTGCCCTGAATCACGAGGTATAGCAACAGTGGTTTTAGTAAGGAGAAATCAAATTGTTATGTGAATTTAAAGAACTTAGTGTACCAGATTTGGATCAAAGTTAACTCGCAAAAGGCATATTTGCATCTCCAACAGGAACTTTCATTTTGCACAAACAAAACTCTGTAGGTCAACTCGCCGCACCGTTATCACAGCCACAGTTGCTAATTCCTAGAATGGAAAGAAAATACTAAACATTCTTATAACTTTACCCCACCCTGGAATCTGGCCAAACGCTTCCCAAGCAACGCAACTGAAGAGCCCCGAAAGAGATGCATATTTATAACTGTCAGCAATTTCTGATATTCATGCTATATCGCAGAGAACAAGAAAGCAGGTCAGGGTGCTCTGCAAGAGTCCCTCTACTAGCACCCGACCAATTTGAAGGTGTTTTTACAAAGTGACAGAAACCTCCATATCCTGCAAATCTGACATTCCGAGATGATTGCATTTGAAGTAATCTCTTTTTTCCACGGCACGTTGTTTGACTGGTTTGTTGTTATAGATTTACGACATTTTTGCAATATCTTAAAATGTAAGCTTCATTCATTGCTAATCCCCACTTAGCAGCTGAAAATGTGTCTTAATTAAACAGTAACTCATTAATGAAACTTTTTTCACTTCATGAAAACAGCAAAACGTGGAGGTATTTATTAGTTTTCCTTACCGTACTGTACAGAGTTTTTGTCACTTCATGAAAATATAAAGGCACGAGGAAAATTGTTACATTATACATGTATTACAAAGCAACTCGTGCACACATGTTCTTTTTCAACATCGTTTGCGAGCATGCTCACATCCTGACCCAAGCAAGACCGTGTATGGTCCTCTTCTGCCCTGCTTGTGAGGTCACTTTTAGTCACATTGTGAAAACAAAGAAATGCAGAGACCATGCATTTTGTCAAATGGTTTTTTACAATAAATAAGAAAGTAAACAACAGTCTGCTTCCAAACTCTATTGAACTGTTCTTTAAGACAATTGTAATAAAATAGATGGGAAAACGTGAGATTAAAGTATTACGGATGATCCAGGTTTTTGTCACTTTGTAAAAACACTGACGAATTGTGTGCCAGCAAAACAAAGCACAATATATACCACTGGCCATTACTATAGTGAGCAAACAAATTAAAAACAAAAGAAAAAGACTGAGAGAACAAACCTGGTCGAAATGCCGCAGAGTCAGGTGGGGGTTTCTGAGTCGGGGCTCTTGTGGGTGGAGCCGGATCTGAAACATTTTAGATCAGTAAGCTGTTACATCTTCAGGAATAGAGTTCTGTCAAATTACTAAAGTGCTTAGCAGCAAATTCAGAACACTTCACTTTTATTTGAATTTTTCATTAAAAAGAGAAACCAGCATACATGTCAGTGTTGTAGTCAAGATTATCACAAGATCACAAGACCAGTCATAAGTAACAGGGTAATAAATGACAACCAAATGCTTTTCTTGCAGTTCACTGAAATAACTTGTGACACATGTTCAGAACTCAGATCTTATCTTTGGTTTTGTAATGGTCTTAAGAGGTATTGAGACTCTTACAGCGGCACACATATGTGACCAAACCTATTATACATGATAAATTACCGCTTGGTCTTAAACACTTCCAGGTTTCCATCATTGACATTGATTGAGGAGTCAGGTTGGCAAGGTAGTTCTTTCCTCGCCTTCCGCCTCTGTGGTTCCAGGTTCGAATCCCGGCCAGGTCCACATGTGGATCGGGTTTTCAGTCCCTACCTGACTCCGTGGGTTTTACCCAAAATATTCCTCTGGGGTTTTCCTCCCACCTCTAAAACTGTAACTGCTTCTTGCTGTCTCCTCTTTACTGATGTTGGTGAATGTGGGTCGTTTGGCGGCTGCCTGAGCTGAGGTGCCCTTGTATGCCATCGGCTCAACCATGTTTCAATGTATTCATTGTTCCACGCTTAATGTCTTCACTGTACAGCCCATTTGAACATATCTATATGAAATTTGTGCTTTATAAATGAATAAATTATTATTATTATTTGACTTATCGCCAGAAAGGTATGCACAAAACAACCAACAAGACTGGTTTCACCGAGCCGAAATTTCACTCTGCCACTGCTACATTCTGAGGCTAACTACACAGTGGTGTTTCATACACCCAATTCCACATCAGGAGAAGTTACTGGTGCACTCAAGAGGCACGTATTACGGGCACAACAAGAGGAGTATGAGACCGAACTCATGAACAAATGTCAGGTTTCAAAATTTGAAGGGACTTTTAATCATAACAGGTCCTTATAAAAGTGTGATTGTAGTGGTTTGAAACAAGAACATTTAAAATTGGCTGAGGGTCTGGCACTGACAACAGACCTAGCCTAAAGCTTGGGCCCTTTCGTCCCCGGGCTCCTTTCTGTTTTTTGTTACACGTACACTCTTATCAGGCCAAGTTAAAAAAAAAAACATGTTTATAGTGTCAGGGATTTTGAAAAAAAGGGGGAGGCGGAGCCTTTTACTCTTTGCTTTCAAGATGGCTGCCACTTCCGTAGGTGTGTTTGCAATTTGCAGCCATAAACCATTTGCAACCATTCAAAGACATGTTTGAAGTGCAGATTGCATGGTCACCAACAGAGTTTGACATTAGTTCTAGCTTGCAAGTTTTCCTTTCGGATCAATGACATTTTGCAATTTCAACCAACTGTTTCTGAAGAAAATGTAACCAAAAATTAAGGCAGCCTCCGAAACAGAAGCGGGCAAAGACGCTAAACATGTCTTTTTTTTTTTACTTAGCCTTTACTCAAAGGAAATGATTCCTACATTTAGGGGCTTTGCAGATGTAGTTGGCTCTCAGAGAACACTGAACGTCGGCCCATTCACCGCTCGTCAGATCCATTTGGACACACTTGTTGTTTTCATTTGCATCATCTGATGGTTCATTGGCCTGCCAGTTGACATAGTCCATGAGACTTAGATCGTCCCATGAACTGAAACCTGGACCCCAAGAAAAGTAATACATGGTTTGCTACATATATCACCTATTCACCCTTGTGTTACATTCATCTGCATGCCTCTATTCACAGGTTGCTATTCTGTGTAACCAGTCATCCGTGCTCCAACCTTACAAAATCATTCAGTTGATGATTGGGTTACACAGCAGTGACATATCAAGGGGTGGGAAAGTTGCCTCCTTCGCCCCCCCATGCTGTCATCAAGGAATCACATGTGCTTATTGAAAAAACTGTAATACAACCTTTCTTGGGCCGGGGGAATATAAGAATTATTTACTCATGAAAAACTTTGGACAGCAGTTTTAAAATATAAATCCAATTAGGCCCCCCCACCCAAGACATGGATACACCACAGTCCCCAGATGTCCGGAACTTTCACGGCCCAACGAAAGCACACTAATGCCCAGGCCATCAAGTTTGTAGCCCCCCTCGGCCCTCACCTGTTTGATCGCGCCTCATCCCCAGCCAGATCTTAGCGTTAGTCTCCGTGAACACCTTCTTAGCTTCAGTCCAGATGAAGTCATCCTCGGCCTGGGAGTGTATGCTGGGCAGCACCCCTCCGTTGTGCTGGGTTGTGCAGATGTAGGTCCCCTCTTCCCACAGTATGCGGGTCTGTGATGTGGCAAAGAGCACACAGTAATCTGTTCCCGGTAGTTCGACGTAGTCTTCAGGACAGACGCCTCTCCTCAGCCCCGGCTTGTCAGGTGGTGGAGCTGAGGTGGGGAGGGGGGGGTAGGGGATGGAGAGAGGTCAACGGCAGTGAATTCTAGGTCAGGCACGGCAGTACATCCAAGTACGACCACAGCTTAACCGACAATGCTCATATCAAGACGTTGATGGGCATTTTACAAATGACCCGCTCCGTGAATATAAGTCATAAATCTTTTTTTTTTTTTAAATAAGTTTGTTTGCATTAGAAAGATCAAGTCAAGCTTTTTGTCTTGATATTTATCTCTCCAGCTGGCCGTCCAGATGAAAAAGGCCATTATGTGTGGGTGGAAAATGTACAGAGTTCCTGTCCCCTCTGAACGGGAAGAAGGGAGGTTGTGTTTGTTGTGGGAGTCACTGAGCAGGTGTGACCAATTCGTGTTGTACTGTCGTTGCTTGTGCACTTCAACTCAGGGTGGACTGCTCTCGGCATTCGTCAAGATTCTTTTAAACTCAAACATGGCTCTGGAGACTTGTGACCCATTTTCAAGGAGTCAGATGTGTAAACCATAACATACGACAAAAAAGCACATGACAGTTTGCAAGGGATCACGCCTTGAGAGAACTACTGCATGTCTGGTTACTGATGTTTCACTGCAATAACAGTTGGGCAAAATACTTGACCATGTGGGAACCAGGTACAGGCACAAAGTGCGCCCCTATGTTCAAGTAACAGGTAGCTTGGCAAAACGTCACTGTCCAAAAAATCCGAATGGACACAGCACCACACACTGAAGTGTAAACCAGTGTTTGATTTTGTTTTTTCCAGCAAGGATTTCAACTTACAGGGATATTCACAAATGTAATTCTGTATAGTGCTGCACAAACTGACTTCCCAGAAGCCCTCTCGATTCAGCACGACACAATCTCCTTTTCTGTTGTGAGGTTCATTGGGGCCCCACATGGTGAATTCCAATGGCCAATTGTCGATCCATTCAAACACTCCAGTGACCTACGGGGGGGGGGACAAACAAAGGAAACATGTGACAAAAATAACACCAATTAAACTAGAGGAGACATATGGTACAATCCCCTTACTCAGAGAGAGTGCTTATGAGCACGCTGCTTTCTTCACCTCTTAAGGATCATATAAAATACCACACCAACTTCTGAAGAATGTGGGATTTCAATTCTTAAACTCACAATTTTCAAATCAGATATTCTGAGATCTACTTGCCTGATGAGGCAATTTCTCACCAGAGAATTTAAGGATGGCATCTGGTGCAATACACTGCCTAACCTTTTGCAGTCGATCAATCTCTACTCACTGCATTGCGTCGCAGCCCGATATATGCCTTGGATGACTCGTCCAACCCCTCCTCATACAGACTGGACGTGAACAAGGCCGCCTCGTATCGGTCAAACACCGACAGCAAGTCACCACCCTTACTCTGGCAATCCTAATCATCAGGGCAAACAGAATTCCCTCGGTCAGGATAAACACAAAAAACGAACCCAACGAACAACATGTAGCACTTGTAGAGTGGGTCAATGGATAAACAAGTGAGATGCCCATATGGGTCATTAGTTTCCCGCAGGTTAGCTCTCACTATTACTAGGGAGCCTCTAGTGTTTAAACTTCTATGTATGTTTCTGGCTTTGCACGAGGAAGATCACATAGTCACAGATGAATGGTTTGTTAGTGCCAGAATGCCGCTTGTGTGTTAAAAGTGGCAAACTGCCCTATGAGTGGGGCAATTTCTGTAAAAACCAGGGCAGGGCTTGAAATTGAGACAGCAATTTCTAGCCCCAATGTACAAGGTTAAGATTCCAACCAAAATTGCAACTCAAGCCTTCGACTGGCAATTTCTTGTAACATCACAAAGAACATAAAAGGGCATAATTTTGCAAAGGAAAGTCTGTTGAAAAATATAATAAAACCATCTAATGGGCGAGATCTTTAATATTCATAACAACTCTTGAAAACTGTCTAAGGCTGTTTTGAAAACACACATCAAACAGTCTGCAGGCTTGGATTGGAGCGTAGCTTTGTAAAAGTACCATGTAAAGTCACCCATGAGAGGACAAGGTTAATTCATGTGCCTCGCATAATGTGGTGAGGAGAAAGGGGCAGAATGGTGGTCTCCAAGAGATGGCAAATTTGGTCCCCAGCCATTTCATTTGCAATGGTCGTCTGGTTCCCAATGAGGTACGTTTTGACTAGAAAACGCAGCAACAGGGACAGTGCATGAATGCTGAACAACTTGCAAGTTACCTACTTTTCAAGATGTAATTTGTGTCAGGGAGTTGTCCATTTTAGTTATGGATTTTGCCCTTACACCAACACTGTATACTCGGTAATTCAAATTACTCAGTTTTGTTGCCTAGCTCAATGGTACACATGTATCATGACCTGTATTGTTCCAGCGTGGCATGGAATGTCACTGAATCCCCCTTATTCTTGAGCTCTCCATGTATATTTAATACAGTTGTTAGGGTCTGCGGTGCCATTTGGTAGGCTGCACTTCACATGCGTGCATATGGTGCTCGACCTTCTTACCGTTCTGGCATCATCAAATGAGCGTCTCATTTCACGCTCCACAAGGAAGCAAGTATCGAAGTACTGACTGTATCGATTGTCCGCACACTGGCTGCCTGGCAGGTCAGGGGGAGTGCCCCCCGCGGTGACTGAAAAGTTAATGAAAAGTGACAAAGAGAACATGCAGGGGGAACAGCAAATGGTCAAATCTGGGGGAGGGGAAAATCTCCAGCTCGTCATAATTCCACACCAGGGTGAGAAGAAACAGGGCTCAGCAGTGGAAAGACTGAGAAGCAAACAGTCCAGGGAACATTATAGGGTGGCATTCAACATTTGTTGCCGGTTATGATCTGGAGCAGATTAATCAAAACTTGGCGCAACTATTCACCAAGGGTAAGCCTGACGCCACAAATTGGGGCATAGCTGCACAATATAAATTATACTGCCAATTTCAAAAAAGGCTTAGTTGCCTGGCAGTTTAATTATACAAAGCATCTTGGATGAGGTCGATCAAAGCTTTTACAACAGGTGTTCCTGGGCTGTTTGTTACGGCAGTCACCAAAAAGTTGTTAAATTTGTTCCAGTACCTGCTATTTTGGAAAAAGTTTTCCAGGAAGCAAATCTCAAAAGTTCTTTCACTATCCCCAAGTGCATTTCTTGTTTACACCTGTATAAAGTTGATCTATGAAGAGACTGACAGCAAATTTTGCTCACTAAACTCGTCCATTTTCAAATCATTCAGCCCACTTCAAGCCATCTAAAATGATATCCTAAGTTACACCATAATTTGTCGCGAAAGTGTCAGACATTATACACATTTTTAAAATTCGCGGCGTAAAATACCCAATGAAACGTAGTGCAAGTGAAGTAATTACGCTATTGCATAACATTTTCTGATATTGACTTCTGGTATTACAGTTGTATGCCTAAGGATAAAACTGAAACTTCATCGGCTCTCTGAGCTCTAGAGAGGGTGAAAGGTTCCTATAGCAACGGGGGCTCCTTTGGTAGTTACTCGGCATCGTTGGTTCAGGAATGACTATGTGAAACGCAAGTTTTGCAGTCGTATCGCTACCAACAAAATGAACAATCGCAACCAACACGGCTCTTTTCAACCACTGAGATGAGTACTTCTGCTCAGATGCTTCAAGTGTTCAAGACAAGTCATTAATCATACCATGGGGTAAATTTTAAACAATGTTTGGAATTGATGAGAAGCAGTTGAAGAATAATGATTCGCACAGCAAGTTTCAAACACAAATCTAAGCTTCAGACTAAAAAGGGCACAAGCATAGGAGCTGTCCAAAATGAAGTCTTCTTGGTATGAACGTCCTACAGTGAAGAACCAGATTGATTTTGCAGAAATTCTTGATGCACACAGGGACTATGGCTTTAACGGGTGCCCTGACTGCAACAGAAATTCCTCACCCGAGGTCTTTGTCTGGTCGAGGAGTTGCAGTATTTCCAGCTTACAATGAGAGAGAGGTGGATAAACTCGCTTTTACCTAATGGAGACTGGCAGAGATAGGCCCGTGGGACACTGCAGGTGACGTCATTCCAGCTACCTGGATCATCAGGATTGTTCATCATCACCACGCAGCTTTGAGAATTCTGTGCGGGGTAAGAAGCAGATCAGTCGCTAGATGGTGTAACTTATGCTATAATTAAAAAGTTACCAAGATGAGCTCGGACATTTCTTTCTTCCTGTTTTTTAAAAAGTAACAAGGCCATAAAGTGTGCGGTTTACAAGCCAGCAAGATTACATACTGGGCTTTGAAGCTTTTTATGGTAAAGGTGGCAAGTTAAGTAAAAGATTTGTGGTAGAAAAACCCACACGGCCAACTTGCACAAAGGGCTGTTACGGTTACAGTTCCATACCACCCAACATCTGACTGAAACTCTCACTGTTCTATTCTTCTTGAAAACAAGCCACTACTTGAAGGAGACAGTGTCCCCTCAAAAAGGCAAACAAGGAAAGAAGAGACAACTAGCTAGTGTCACATTGGCAGAGTTAGGATGGGATCAGCTTGTGAGGGTTTGGTGAAGATGTGACCTACAGGGTCAGTGATGGGCAAGAGGTTGTCTGGCTGGCCTTCCATCCAGGCGGTGTACTCCAACGGTGACTCGTCAGACCAGTGATACTGGTTGTGGATACCGATGCCGTTCAAGCCAATCCACATGTCCACACCCTCGAATGCCTTGATGATGGCCGTCATCAGAGCTTAAGGTACAAGAACCCCAAAAATGAAAAAAAAAGCAGGCTCTAACACTGTAGCCAGCAATTTTAGGAGTACAGCCAGGGGCCAATTTCATGAAACGCTAAGACGTGTCTTAAGAAGGGTAACTTGTCTTACTTTACAACTTGTCTTAGGATCAATTTCACTAAACTTTAGGACGCGTTCAACAAGTCCTAACTTCTTCAAGAACTCTTCCTATCTTAAGATTGGTCTGAGGGTCGTCTTATCTCATTAATGCATGCAGTAATCGTCGAAGTGAAAGACAAGTATTGTCCTAAAGCTATTAATGCAACAGTTTTGTGGGATGAAAACTAGCTGCGGGAACAGATTTGAAAAGTGTTGTCATTTACAAAAAGGTTGTTTAATTAATATGAAATGCTCAAAAATCTAAATGGTACGGGAAAACCTACGTGTCATTTTAAAATGGAATTATCAAAATGATTGAAAGCATACATGAGTCAACTGCTCTGCCACACAGACATATTTTGGCTGTCCCTATATTTTCAATGACTGTTTTCGTCAAAGGGTTCAAAGAAACATGAAACAGCCTCCAAATTTCTACTTATGACCCGTCTTTCTTAAGATGGATTTGGTGAAATCAATCTTGGAACCCTGCTTAGCAAAGATCTTAGAGTTGGGACTCATGTTAAGCCTTTAGATAAGTTCCGAGATAAGATGAGTTTTGTGAAATCGGCACCAAGAACGGTTCACACACAGGTAATAAGGCACCAATGCTTTATGGGTAATTTGAGAAATTAGGGGTCTGGAAGTGTGACCTTTTGGTGTCCCTGTTGCAATATCACCAGAATTGATTTCAAACTATTGCTATTTATTTGGAAGGTAATTTGAATCAATTCATCACTCTTGGAAATTAGAAAATGTGTTCTGAAATCAAACGTCAGATGTGATAGGGACATTAAAAAGGGACCCCTAATTTCTGGAATTACCCTTATCTAAAATTGGCAAAACACAGCAAAATCAAGCTATCGGATGACTTTCATCCCTGCAGTAAACAATGTGAATTGGAGAAACATCATTGGCACACACCTCCCTCAAGTTAATTCTGAACACATATCCATGCCACGCCCCCCTTCCTAAAGGCCAGCTCACATTTGGCGTGAGAGCAAACACAATCAGATCAAATATTGATGCTACAAATTTGTAGATGCTGCAATGAACACATTTTAACTGGAGTGAATTTTGCAGCAAACATTTGATGGCATCAAATTTTTGCTTTGCTTTCGTGTTTACCTGAAGTGTTAATGCTCCAGCTTTTAGAAGGGAAGACGGCATAGTAGGGTAAGGATCCCGGGAAGGCACAGAGGAACAAAAGCCGCACGGAGGGTCAGTTTCACATAGGGTCTTCCCTGTCCTCAGGTGGTGATTCATTTTGATCACAGCTGCCGTAGGGACTGTTTTGCTTTACAGCAATAAGCAGGTCAGTGTAACATACACCTGTCTTTGGAACTGAGATGTGAGTTGTGGTCAAAAAAAACCCTGCTTCATCAGGGTTGATGTCCTATGTGTCAGTCCAAAGCTGGCTCTCTTGGAATGCACCAAGTTCACGTACAATGGAGGTGCCAAGCAGACTACGATTACATCAACAGTTGCCAAGCCCTGATTTTTTTTTTCTGCGGGTAAAATAACCTAGCTACCTTGTTGTCCAGGATGGCTGACCGTGGCAAGAGTCCAACCCCTGTCTGTTCGATCCGATCTACAGTCATCTCTGGCCGCGATCCAGCCCTTGCGCTCACTCGCCGTCGTGCCCTTCACGCTGTAGCACCTGTTTCCCAATTTGAAGTAATCGTCGGGGCAGCCGCCAGTTGTGGGATAACCGGGAAGGAGGGGTTTTGGATCACTCTCTGTTTCTTTGCGCTTGCAGACAAAGCTCAGCGTATTTCCACAGGCACTTGTTGCCCACTCTCCCTCTGCAAGACATGCGCTCACACAAGTTTATAATCAGCCTCTTCTACTGTGGTTTAAGGCAAAAGAACCAGTGCCAATTTCATAAAAGATTTGGGCCGTTTTCCAATGCTCAACTTTGCCTCCGTCTCAGGCTTCATGCGTTTGGAGGGGGGGGTAGATATAGCACGTAACACAAAAGGGGAGCTGTGACATGTAAATTTTTAAAACCTGCAGTATCTCTTAGTTTAATTAAGATTTCTATAACCCACGTCATCGATTGTCACAATGAGCCAGGTCAGTATTTCAGCAAGGCAGGGGAAGCATTCACAAACAAAACGAGCATGTTAGGGGGTGCACGACTGCACTCAGTGGTGTTCCAAAATGACCTCGGACACCCTTCAGCTTGGCCATGCGCTGTTGGAATATCAAGCTGCATGCTCATTGCAATCAATTCAACAATGACATGAGCATTATGGGAATGAGCTAGTGGTGGTCACACTAGAAGGGGTATTATGTCCGGCATCTTACTTTGCCAGATGAGCAGTTCCGCACATTCCTCCTCATCAGCCAGGTTGACTGGGGGCTGACCACCAGGGAATCCGGAATAGGTGTTTTTATCGTAAGCTGTGCCATCACTCCATCTGTATGGGAATAAAACAGAAAAGCACTTAATTACTTAAAAAATAACAAGGATCTCAAAGGTTGAGACTATTGGTAATGTCTCGAGTCCAAGTATGCATTTTGCTAGCACTTCGTGTCTTTTGTCCCTTCAAGAACAAAGTTCCTCTGCCCTGCCAACAAAGTCACCAAGGATTCTAATACCTGGATGTCCAGCTGGTTGTGGAACGCTGAAGTCATAGCAAACATGTACAACTAATATTAGCTGACATGCAAGTTGGTAATGGGCCCCCTTGATTGCATTTTGTGTCTGCTGTGGTGATAGTTGGCTCTGATCTTGCTGTGTAGCTATTGTGATTAAAGATTGGATACTTGTAACGTGTGCAACTCACGCAAAATCGCTGTTGCCGTATTGCCGCAAGCCGATCCAGTAACTCTTGGCAAATCCGAAGGACTGCAACAAGAAGAGACAAGCCAAACACCCAGCTGAAGTTTGTCATAATCAACAGGTGAGTTCATTGACCTCAAGCAATAAAACAAGGAGGAAAGGGTGCTACGTGGGGGGTTTTGAAATTCATTATAGAGCTTAAACATGTATTTGCCGAGAAGAGACTTTGAAATGGACCTATATGGGACTGGGAATGACTGAAGTCTCATCAATGCGTAATCGGGCAGATCCATTCTTTCCTGTTTTTGCTGATGAAGTGATGCGTGGAAAATTCTGTTGCTGGAGCCTGATGAATGGTCGACCCAATCTGTTTGGGCAGGTATAGAGTACCAATGTGAACACGTCACAGGCACGATTGCGTGTGAAAGGCATTTAGCAAAAGAACCAAGGCATGAACTAAGACGCGTGAGTACTCCATTCGTTTGCATTGTGATTTTTTCTGGTTTCAAGTGATGGCACACTTCAGTACTCCATAGGTCTTCTGTAGAGACTTTGTGTGATTGGGGTGTTTTTCATCCTTACTGGACTGCCTGCAGTGTGTCCCCTAAAAGGTGTCCCATTTGATTTGGAATCCCAATTGCCTTTCAGTGAGAATGTCATCACATGCCTGATACAAACTAGGACATCTGTCTAAAAAGGGGAGGGGGGTGAAATACAGTGAAGCAGTTGAGACCTCTTGAGACTTAAGACCTCCAGTCTGAATGCTCGTCACAAGTTACTCGAGTGGACTGCAACAAAGGCATTTTCATTGTCACTGTTTAAATAATAAGTGGCAGCTCACCACTCTTGGTAATCTTTTTACTGGTTTTGTGACTGGCCTTGTGCCCTGCCTCGACCATACAACACAGGTACAATAAGTGCCACAAGCACCCACCTTTAGCATCCTTGAAATAAATGATCAGAGCTCGAACCAATACAATTATGGAAGACAGTGGAAAAAAACAAGCAGAAACTCGTGGATGGAATATTTCAAATCTCAGCAAACAGCTCAGGTACTCACCAAAACTTGGACCAAGGTCTGTTCATCCTCGCTGAAAACAGATGCAAGGTTGCCACCCTGCGACCTGCATTCATTTTCTGCTTCATTCCAGGTTCCAGAACGAAGTTTACTTCCGCTCACAGTGCTGGGCAAGTAGCAGTAATCTCCAAATTTGATCTCATTGTCAGAGACACACTCTACGAGCCAAAAATGAGCAAAAGAAGAAGTAGAACAAAGCTGACTCGAGGCCCTCCGGTTCCTTTACTTGGCCTTCTTTCAATGAAACTCTTATTTGTAGATACTTATTGGGTGCTAGATTAATCACATAATAATAATGAATTGTGTTGCTAGGCCAGTTCCATATTCACACCACACATGCTCAAAATGGAGCATGTTTCTGTCAGTTGAGAACATCAATACACTCCTATCACGGCAGCTACATATCAACTCACCAGTCTATATATGTTCGAACTGGTGGAAATTTGTTTTTGATTGACTTTGCCTTTTTTGAGATATAAAAACTGGCTAATAAAATCTGCATTCATCTTGGAAGCCTTTAAAGCCTTTAAAGCCTTAAAAGACAGACACCAAGCCCAAATTTCAAAAGAAAGTTACAATTTTTGATATGGGGCAATTGAATCTTCATTCTTACATCTGTGAATGGCCATGCTAATCAAAGTCTAGGAAACATTCCAGACAGCTAAACATGCACACATCTCAACAGACCAAAATACAGTCACAAAAACAAATCACACAAAGCTATGGTATTACCAGTTTTTAAAATTATTATTAAAATATACAGGGTAGGCAGCCACATCAGGGTCACTGATAAAACCCCATTTACAATAATCTAAAGGCGTCACATATCACTAGAAGGGAATATAAAATGATAAGAGTATGGAAAATGATTCATAATTAAAAAAAAGTAAAAATAAAAATTATGAAAAATTAAGTTATAAATCTATGCACACCAAACAGGGGGAAAAAACAAAACAAAAAACATTGAAGACAGTTCATTCAGGACAGTTGGCAAAGTGACAAATTCTCACTCCAACATGAGTAAAAATTGTACGAAAAGTGTAGTTAAAACTGGAATTGTAGATTACATGTATAGGTGTAACCGTACACACAGCTATTCAAAGATTTAAAGGTGACTTACTTCTGTCTGTATAAGTTGTCCCTGAAAGAAAAAAATTGAATAACAAAGATCAATGAATCAGACTATTGTTTGATAGGGCAGCTGTTTGGATTAGTACATGTACATGTAGATGAACCATGCCACTAAGGTTAAATGATGGTCAGAGAATACAAGCCATCAAAATCGGCAAATACAGGCCTACAAATTTGGGCATACGCAAATGGAATTCCTCTGCTAAAATACCGCAAGTAAAGTTTTAACAGAATTTCTTCACAGTTCAGAAACGCAATGGCAGCAGCCTAAACCCACTGGTCAAGGGACAGTAATACAAGACAAAAACATTAAATAGAGCAAACGTGAACTTCATCTTTTGGTCCAGAAGTGAAAAACGTGCAAACCCGCGGCTCATTTTTTTCTGCCCGGCCAGTTTACTCAGCGAGCAAACCTCTGTCGAGAACCGGTCGTGAGCAGCATACATGTGTACAGCGTTACCCTTTTTTTAAGTGGAGGGCTGATGAGAACTGAGGTTTTTTTCCGTACTTTGCAAGCTCCCTTACTTGACAGATCTTCAGGACACGGTTGATTAACTAACTAACTTGACTAACTTGATTAACTAACTAACTGACTAACTTGATTTCCACTTCCATCCCCAGTCAACTTCAAATCCCCCCCCCCAATGGATACACAACTGATGTGCGCGCAGATTCCTACGGCACCAGGCTACCCTGCTGCTCATTGACAATGGAAAGTGCACGCCCCAAGTGCATATAGTTAATTACAGTGGCAATGTCACCGTAGTGCACTCACGCTTTGGCAACTTGCAAACGGAGTACAGCGCACTGAACTGGCAGATTTCATCGCTCCAGGCTCCAGCGCCAGCGGTCGTGATGGACATGGCGACGCAGCTCTCCAACAGTACGGTGTCAGAGTCCACCACGCTGGGCTCTCCCTTGCTCCAGAAGATGTAATTCAACTCATTCTGGTCTAACCAGCCAAATGAGGCTGGTAAACAACAAATGCCAGAGTTTTTAATGACTCGAGTCAGTGGCTCAACTCGAGTCACAAGTTGGGTAAACTCTACTTCAGTCTTGCCCGATAAACGATTTGACTCGACCACATGCAGAAACCCACAGTAAAATTTTAAAAATGCCCAAAATGACTTTCTCTCTTGTTTTTGTATATCATGCGGTGTTCGAAAAATTGACGACCTGAATTGACTTGAAATAAATACTTGACTTGACGAGACTCTTTTGCCTAATGACTGGATTTGAATCACTGTGTTACGACTCATCTCAAGTCACCATATTACAATGACTTAAGTCACAAAGATAAATGATTTGTTACAACTTTGACAAACATGTGCATCAAATGTCGATATTCATTCTTGAACACTGATACAATTGTATACTTGCACGCTCTCAGTCAGAGTAACAGTGTCTATTTAATGCAGACCCTTATTTGGAATCACTTCACTTTTTTTCACGTGTCCCCATTATTTCATTATCTATTTCATCACATTGCCAATTTTAAGGCAGTTTCTGGCATTTTTTCAATTTAATGGGAATAGAAATGTCCACACTTACCAATGGATTTCTTCCCGATATAAAGGAAGAATTTTCTGGTGTTTTTAAGAATGCAAGGGCAGCATTTAGCCCTCTAGTTACACACACACACACAAGCCATCTTCCCAATGCACAATGGGGCACAAGACCAATGCTAAAGATTGACAAACATCAACGCTTGAGTATCTAAGGAGTTTTCTCCTGATGAGCAATTATTTCTTATCATGACTCAACTTGTTTTCTACAATTTTTGTCTCGGGAAAGTCTACCTTATGCGGGAAACAAAACCAAGTCGTGCATAATCCTGCGAATCTGGAAATATGGCAATTTCCCAGTTTCTGGGTATTTCCACAAGCATGTGCCAAATCTATCATTTCACAAAAAAGCTTATCGTATCTCACTCCAGTCATTGTTGCCAGTCTGAACGCGTGTCAGTCCAATCCAAACAAAGTCATTTGCAGGATACCGGTTGTTTGCTCTGCTGTATACAAATTCATTCTCAGCAGCTGACGTGATGCTTGCTAGCGTGGCGCCTTCGTACATCCGCATACATCTGCATTGTGAGAAGACGATAAATAAAAAAAAAACACATGAAATGACAGGTGAATTTGAGTGACAAACTTGCAGACGTAGGTCAGGCACCCCTGGAACAAAGCCAAAAGCACTGTAATATAAGAGCATATAAGGACGGGTACCAGACCATTTTGACAGCAGAATTGTTCTATCTGCCTTGAGCAGAAGCATCCCAACATTGGTTAAACAGAGCCAGGTTGGTGTAGAGTGTTCATTTTAAATTTGTTGGTAGCAAATATAGCTATGTGAATGCCAGACTTGCATTTCATAATAGCTCATGAACCAGCAAATTCAGATTTTTAAAAATTTAAATCAGATTTTTTTGATTTTTAAAAACAATCATTGCTACAAACGGTCAAGACACAGCAAAGGAACAACTTGACATGTACGTATTTGTTGCCGAGTTCCCCAAAAGCTCGGTCAGAATTATAAGATTTTTCAATCAATGACTAGTATTTTAGAATGCAAAACAATGATTCCACATAGCTAGGCATTACATGCACACCCATTTGTGGGCTATGACCTCTCGCATGAGGTACTGCTACTTTTGTAGTGAAAGGCTGGTACTTATTCTTGGACCGCGGAACGGCGATAAACGTTCTAATCTGCCTCACCTGAAGTTGCCCTCCCCCCAGTCAGTCTTGACGTCCGAGAAGTAGTAGCAGTTGGATCCAAAACTTTCCCATCCACTTGGACAGGGCAGCTTCTCAGTGTCGGGGTCGGAAGTTGGTAACGGCATGCCTGACAGATGATGGGCCAAAAAAGAAAAGTAGAGTTTTGGGTTGCCTGTTGAGTCAGTGAATGGACCGTTACAGGAACTATGCAAATATAATTGAAAACTGCCAGATGGCTCATTTCATATGTCCTAAGAAATTACCGGTAAAAGAAAAACATGTCTAAAGCAGCAAGTAGTAAAAACACCAAACCCTACAAAATATGCAAACTGGAACAGCAAAGCCACCCCTTATGAATTTGAATTTCTTTCCCGTAATAACAGCTTATTAAATTTAAATACATGTACTGATAGAATTCCAAGAGGAAGCCAACAAGCACTCCATGGCACATTGTACCACCTATGGACCTGCAAGGAAAAACTTTAACATTTAAGGACGGCCGGACGGACGGACAGATGGCCCGCCCAATGGAAGGACGGACAGAAGACGGAAATCGGTATTACATAGGCTCGCATTTGCTTCACAACTTACCAAAAATCATGGTTACAAATTACCAATGTCAATTACATGGCAGTACATGTGAGGGTTGTTTTACAGGCACCAAGTGAATTAACGCACACAATGGACTTAGGAGCCACAGGGCCCGAAGGACATTAAGGATAGATGCATACTTTAGGACACGATAACAGAGCACCCACAGTCTGCAGGTGGTCACCGGCAAGACTACAAGTCCAGCAGTAAGCGGTGACGACATTATGTAAAACATTTGTTTCGATCCTCAACTGAAAATGTATAGTACAGCAGGTGACACGTTATTGTCCCCATGTTATGGGTTTGAAATTTCGGAATCTTACCAAATCGATCAAAACGACAGAAATAGGCGGCGTTGTCGTTGCACGTTGTGTCGTCCCAGTTCTGCTGGTCTGTTCGGGCACGGACGCACCCTTCACTTTCCTCTGCACTGGGCTCGTTTGCCCCCCAATTGGTGTAGACAACGGGATAGCCAGTTATCCACCCAAATTCACGCTAAACATTGACAAAAGAAAACGAAGAAGAGCGTTGCCACGCACGAACGTACCACCATCGTGACCCACGCAGAGACCCACACAAACACATATTGTTACCGGGTTATGGGGACGAGACGTGTTGAAATACAGACGTTATAAAGAAAATAGGGGCAAGTATGATACTTGGTGTCCCCCAAATGCGGTTCCAACTCATGTAACAAAGAAAGTTGTCCCACACCCGGGGAAGGCCTACATGGACAGCAAAGGAGAAAACAGCACTGGGGCATAAAATAGGGACCCCAACGTAAAAATCTTAGTATTATACAGGTATATATAGAGCAGTGAATATCGTCCCTTCCTTCCGATCCTTCTTGTTACCTTTTCAAACAAACATTAGAGCACAATAGCCAAAAAAGATCTTGCCTTCATTTTGCTTCACTTAATGACTGCGTTCAACTTTAGAACGGGTTTGAACATTGCTGATGGTACTTTAAAAACGATCCATAAGGGACATTCAGTTTTGCGATCAGCATGCATGTTGACACTGTGATGTCCTTGATGACTTTAAATGCTGCCAAAAAACCAAAAGAGGACAAACGCGAAAATGAATGACAAGACCAGAATCAGGGGCACGTGAATGACAGCAAAAGTTAATGCAATAGCGCAAAAAGACAAGAAAACCCTAATCTGACGTAAGTGGTATAAACCGAGTTGAAACACGTGTCCTTGAAACCGAACAGTTGTTTTTTCCAGAAAATAGTGGAAAAATCTTAGAAAAACAACATTATTCACATGTTTCAGCAAAGGTTTGGGACTGATCTTTTTCTAGATCTACATGTATTTAATCACTTCTATAAGACCTCTACATCAAACGTTTAAAAAAATCTAAACCCCTGAGGCCGGTTTTGCCCAAACCTTCCTGAATCTTGCAAGGGCCACACTCTCTGTACTTCAACCCTCAACAGGTACAAAACTCACGCATGCATGTTTCTCAAAGAAGCGAGAGGTGTGTGCTTTCCCGCGCTAAGTAAATTATTAAAAAGTTCCTCAGAGGAACAGAGAGGTATTTGAAAGACAGAAAGAGAAAGCAACCAGAACTGCTTGCCATCAGTACAGTTCTGAGGACTGAGGAAAAATCAGCTTCAAAGTGGATCCATTGTGAAATTTGAAAACAAAAAAAGTGGTCCTGTTTTGCGGTACGACAGAACTGGATCAGCACTCATTTTAAAAGGCATTTAGCAACATCTTCAAGGTTTCCCAAAGAGAGAGTATAATGGTTTGCCTCAGGAAACACTCACATCGGTCGACCTCAATCCGATCCATCCATGACTGAGACCTAGCGAGTACATCATGGTCTCAATGAGGGCTGACTCGTAGCCGTCTAGTATCATGGCAAGATGAATCTCTTCCCCAGGGTTTTGGGATAGAGCTTGACAAGCCGTTTCGGCCTCATTGTACGTAGACAGTGTGTCGTTGAATCCAAAGCAGGCTGAGTCACCAAGCGCATAGAAACCATAAGGGCATCTGAGTGCTGGCGGTACAGCACTACTATTAGAACGATCATCTGCAGAAGAGAATAGAAAATTCAAATTTGAAGGTCATTCAAATCACAACATTCTGGAAAATGTCTCAAAAAAATGAACCTGCTTTTAATTGTTATATTATTGTTAATCAGGAATCAAGGTGCATCAAACACTAGGATTTCAGTTATAATAACCACAAAATGTGTAATAAATTGTGGACTTTTATCACTTTCGTGACAAATAAAAAGCCAGAAATACCAATATTAGAAATGCTTTACCTGCAGGAAAAAATATAGATTAAAACACATTCCACCCCAAAAACTTTTAAAAGATTGCAATTAGCTCATGGAATTGAAAGCCACATAACATCATAAGACAGACATTTCTGTTACATTTTGTCAATTCATTTTACTAATTGAGGCACAATATCCAACGTCCTTCAGTGCATTTTCCCGAATATCAATGACTTCTAGAGAAATCAGATCTACACTAATATGGACTGGCAAGCCCGATACCTTTTTGTCTGTGCCAAACAACAGGTTCAAAAATCCCCTTACATATTTGGCCATGCATGGTTGTTTCAAATAAAGAGAATCAATCATGATTTCTGTCAACAGTTGATGGTCAATTTCTTGATTATCAAGTTCTGAAGATTGTCAACTATAGCACAAGAGTATACAGTGTTTATAAACACATGAGATAAGAAAATACCCAATCTAAATTTACTATCTCTTAACACAAATGTCTGCTGCCGTACCTGACGCATATTTCACTCAAACTGGCCAGCCGATCCTGGCAAGCTTGGTGGTTGAGTGGTAAGATGTCTGCACTAGTGAGCAGGAGGTCATTAGTTCAAGTCCCACCCTAGTCAGCTTGTGAATTTTTTGGCAAGTCCTCAGTTTACATCAAAGAACATATAGTGCCGTCTATGATATCTAATGCCATTTTGCAGGGAACAATAAATTGTTTGGGACATATGAACTCCGGGAAGGCTTCCCTAGCAACTACTAAAGACTGATATATGCTTGTATCTGTAAATTTATCATTATTCCGTTATCACGTCAAACGCAACCCATCATAACCACATCATAGTGGCTCCATACGAACTTTGGTTTACACCGAGTCTATACAGTGATTCTAAATACATATCAGTAAAGGGGGATATCCAAATTTAATTTTTAAAACAGTCCCCTTGTTCTAAGTTTTACACAGTGAAAGGAACGCAAACTGAAATGAACATGCATCAATGAAGTCAAACCAAAAGCAATAGCACATTTTTCAATACTGAAAGTACTGACCTAGATCCATGCTGCAGATGTATCGATGGGTCTCGGTGCAGGGCACATCATACCAAAACCCGGGCTGTTTTGTATTGGAGTTATCCAACACAACGCAGTAGTCTTCCTTAGTCTGTGGATTTCCAGATAATGGGTACTGAGTCAGCGTTGTAGTTGAGATAAGACTACCACGAGGCCCTCACTGTAAGGCCAACACACTTATAGGCCTCCAGTCCCAATTACATGGCATGTATTCAAATAAATTGGAATAAAAACATGAATTTTCTCATCATTTTTCACCCTATTATTCATGGCTGTTCTTGTGCCTGGTCTTGGGATGATTTTAACAGCAACACAGTGTTTAGGCCGGGGATAGCCGGAGGGGGTGTTGAGTTATGTGGGACTATACTGGTTTATTTGCAAGACTGACACAAAGTTTTTCAACACTGTTTGAAAAAGAAAGAAACACAAATAGCCAAAAACAAATCACAATGAAAACAAAAGCAAAGACTATTAACGGCATGAAAAAATGTCCTTCCTCTGTTCATCAATGCCTTGTTACACTACCAAGATTGGGTATCCGTCTGGTTGTCCGACACCCCATCTGGTGAAGGTAGGATTCGACATGCTGTCGTCAGCCCAAAAAAAGAACGGGTTGTCAGGGGTTGCTTTGAGCCCGATGTACACGTCATCGCCCTGGTAAGACCTCATCATCGCAACAATCTGGGCTGCCAAGACAGCCAAGAAACATTAAAGGCAGATGTCAGCAGGGGTGAATCCAGACTTCGGAAGGAGTTGACTTTCTGGGTTGAAGCATAATGTTCTACGTGGATCCCCCTTCAGTTTACAATGTAAATTGACTTTTTTGGTTTTAATTATATGGCTATATAATTCTAGTTAAAAACCTGTCGCATAGGATAAAAGCTCATGGATCTTCAAACAGAAAACTGTCAGTCGAAGAGTAAACTCCATCCAATGTCTTGGAAAAATCTGCCATTTTTTAAAAAAGGGGAAGGAATATTTCCTCTACTAACCCTAACCCTCCTGAATCCTTCACCTGTTGGAGGATTGAGGAGGGTTAGGGTTAAGGAAAAAGGGACAATTTTTTTGCTTCAATTGACCTAACAAATGGCAATGCAGTTCAGGGTGTCATTGTGGTGGCTTGGGATGGAGAAGGAGAACTTTTCCCTCAAGAAAAATATCGAATACAGAACTGGTAACAAGAAGTCATCCAAGATAGTTGGATGTGACACTTTCAGCCTTATCGTCACCATGTAATCTGTCTTGTTATACAAAATATATTAAAATACTAGCATAGAATGTCCAGGGGTGATTACACAGCACATTGAAACCAAGGTCATTTTCAAAGGCACTTTTGTTGACTTACCTTGTCTGCGATAGTCACTGATGATGGCAAGGGACGCCTGTGCATTCAATCCCTTGCAGGCGCTGTTTGCATCTTCAAAAGACTTTTTGTCCGATGAGATCAAAGTCAAGCATACTTCTCCAAGCCGATAAAAATTATCTGGACAGCCTACATATACAATGTAGGAGAGAAACATCAGAAATATTTTATTTTCCGCCTGATTTAGTAAGAAAAGTAAACAAAAAAATTAGGGGAAAAGGGCAAAATTTAATTTGCTACGCTGAGTCAATTCAAATAATTCACCATTGGAACATTAGACCTTCAAATTGATGGAATATTTGCACATTCAGTTGTACCAACCAGCAGATTGCTGAACAAACCCAAATCATTTGCAATAACGCACACAGTCGTACATAATGATCAAGATAATAACTTCTCACATCTACTTGTAGTAGTATCTCCAGCTATGATTTAGCAAAATATACTTCTTACCCTGTTGAAAATTTCTATTCCTTTAAAAACAACTGACTTTTTAAATCATTGAAAGATTTCTGTTGCTTTACATTCCTTGATTTAACTGTCAACAAAGCTGCACTGATCTGCTTGAAACATGCCTCCATGGTGCAATTTTTCTCATTTAAAACAAAAGAAAATTTTCCCTTCCTTTTCATGAATTTTGCTTTCAAATATTCAAATTCGAAAAATAATATTTGTTATTCAAATATTCAGTTATTCAGCACAGCCCTAACATGTACATTAGGGGTTGGATGCATGCATAAATATGTGTATACACCTTTGTAAAAATGGGTCATATATGCATTGTCATTTGCTTTATAAAAACCTCTTTGCAAATTTATAAAAAAAAACTGATTGAAATCTAAATCCTGACTATGAAAGTCATATTGATGGAGATAATTTTGTCACTCCTTTCTTTTAGGAGTAAGGGTTTATTTTCATATTTCAAAAATGAAAAGGCACTATAAGGCCTAATGCATGTCAGGAATAAAAGAAAATCTCTTGACAAACCTCAATTCATTGCAGGCCTGTGTCACGCCAGGGTTTCCCCTGCCTTCTCAAGTGTGAGGCGGCCCAACCTCAATGAATTTTACCGCCTCACACTTAAAGTAGACAAAGGTGGAAGGAAAAAGCAAAATAACTGAGGTATTTTGAAATTGATCATTTTCCAATCGTTCAGAATGGTAACGAGGGACACGGAATACAAGGTTAATTTATTTAAGAGGGTAAATACGGAGTAAATTAGACTAGCCTATGCATAGAATTTATTTTAGGCCTTTTAAAACACTCACATTTGTCTTTAAGGAACTAGAATTTTGGCGAAATTTGACCACCTCACGTATATCGATCAGTACCCCAGGGGAAACCCTGTGCAACATATTCTTATGGCAAGCATTCTCACAAATTTCCTTGTAAAAAACATTTCCAAATAAAGTGGATAATTAAATGGCAAGATAACAATTTTTATCAAGCATGAAAAACACTGAATCAAGACACTTACCAATGCTGTAAACCTGTGGCACTATGGAGTGAAAAACAAAGAAAAACTGGTTTCATAAAAACATTTTTGGTGACCTGCACACACAGTCTGGTCACATGATACTCTATAAATTGAGAGCAAGCCTTCGTGTATTTTATTGAAGAAAAACTTCCATTCATCAACTGCAGAAAAACTTCCATTTATCATCTGCAGAAAAACTGAAGTACATTGTATGGTGGCCCTGGAGGGACATCGCCACCTGTCAATATTTGTGACCAAAATTCACGACTTGCCCTTTGGTCGTAAGTATTGACGTCAATATTCTTTGCGATTGAAGAGCAATTCGTGAATTTGGTGGCAAATATCGACGGCAATATTCGCTACCAGCGAGCAAGTTGTGAATTTTGGTCGTGAGTATTGACGGCAGTATTCCCGACCAGAAAGCAAGTTGAGAGAGCATGATTGACGATATCCCTCCAGGGCCACCATAGGGAAGGCTTTAACAATTTTTCGGTTTTTAAAATGTTTGAAACTTGTTGATGTAAACCTTGAGAATCATGTTTCCATTCCAGACATATGCTGGACTTGTACCCTCAATTTTTCTGGAGGCAGCAACTAGTAAAGTTTTCGTCGCGCCCGTGCGTGCACGGTGCGCGTGTGCATCATGTGTCCAGGTGCTGATGTAGCCACGCGCGCCTTGAATAAAGGCTACAGGCATGCCCAGCCAGTTTGGAACATTTTGTAGTCATAAAGCGTATAATTAAAGAGTACCGAATGAATACGGTCACGCGCACAATTAGTGTGTCAAAGGCATTAGCGCGAGAACCAGCGCGTGAACCAACACGCGTGCGTACTCCATTCGTTTGCACTGCACTTTCTGGTTCACAGTGAAGTCACACTTCGGTACTCTATAGCGACTGGTTTATTTATTTGCTTATTTTTAGTTACTGATAATACCCTGAAACTGAGACTGAAACTGAGTCCATAGAAATAAAAACAAACAAACAAGCAACCCAACAAAACCAACTTTTGTAAAACCCCGTTTACCTTTGCTTGAGTTCCAATCCATTTTTAATAATTGCGCGCAGTGATAGTTGGGAGTCAAATTTAGATTCCCAGGTGATTTTCTAAATCTCAGCTTTGACTTTAGTTGACCTGCGACGGAATTAATTTCCCAAAAGCTGTGCACACAATTTCTACGACTAGCTTCAAACATATGGAGGTAGTTTCGAGATTCGATAAACTTCCGTTAGGCCATAGCTCCATGGTTAGGCCTATGTCTGCTTTGTGTACTGAAGTTTAATTTTTTAATAAACTGATGGTACGTTGCCTTGAGAGAACCACATGTATGATGTACACAGTGGACAAAGCTCAAATTTTAAAAAGGATAAATGCAACTTTCCATTAGGCTTTCTTGCGCGCGCCACAGGCAAGCGTTGCATTCCTATGGGTATGATCTTGCCGCGCCATGTTGGTTCCCACCATGCCTTGCGCTAACTAGCGAAGGAACGCGCACGCGTCCCACGGAGTCGAGGTTGCTCCCTGGCTATATTAATGGTGTCGATTTTTGTGTCATTGAAAGTTGAGCGCATGAACGCAACGTCTACGCAACGCGCCCCAAAAACGTACATTTGGATAGGCACCTTATCCTGAAATTCTTTACAAAGTCTGGGTGTCAGACTTTAAAAACTGGTTCCCGTCCCGTACATAGTCTCCGGACGTCTTACAGACGTCCTCCAAACGTAAGTGTAGCCAGCCCAGCGCGTTGTGGGAGAGTGGTAAGTAGAGTCTTGAGAGGAGACTTCACTTCCTTGTGGAAAAAGAAAAATCGTCTAGAGCCATAAGTTTTAATACAGTCTTTATTTTAAGGCGGGTTTCCCCAATGTGCATGTGGTGTGTAAAAATTCGCCACCCATGCGTACGCTTAAGGGGTTTTTTAAGGGGATTCGTGAAAGTAGGCCTATGTGATAAAAAATAGAAGGTTAATATAGGACCACAAAACTTGAAAAGAACGGGTTTGAAGCCAACCGACAATGACAGATTATTATAGCGATGTTCAAAAAGTCAACGCGTGGCCAAGACGCCATAATAATGTCAAAGTAATTGGTATAGTATAAACAGGTAAATGTAAATTTAGAGCTGAATAGCACATCACTTTGAAGTGCATAAGTATAGATTACTAGTGTGAGCTTTGCAAATTTTGAAACGAAATTATAGATTGATGGAAGGAAATATTTTTTATACCCGGAAAATTGAGAAGAATCAGAACAAGATGGTATCAGGTATTCTTGTCCCCACCTGCTTTCCTTTCATTTCCCCCCGTTCTCCGTTTTGGTTTAGGCCCTATCCTTTCTCCATAGGCTGCGAAGCCAGGCTCCGTCGCACAGAAGTTTTGTCCTGTCGCTAACAGCCTCAGTACAGGCGTTTCACAACAGCGCGCTTCCAAGAGTTTGCAAAGCTTTGGCCAATCACAGTGCGTAAAATCTGTCGACCCAATGCGCGTTTAGAAAGGGTTGACAGATTTCGCGCACTGTGATTGGCCAACGCGTTGCAAGCTCTTGGAGGCGCGCTATTGTCAAAATTAGGCTATAAAGAGTCAATAGTCGAGTTTATACAACTTTTGTAACGTATTTATACTCGGTGACTTTTTCCCAAAGATCGTATAGCGCCGCGAAGATCTTTGCTTTTCCTCCCACGATGTTCAGTCACTATACGTGTACAGTGGCGTAAATCTGGAAATGAAGGGGGGGGGGCTTGCCCGGCCATGGAAATTTGAAAAGTGGGAGGGGGGCACCATATACGCTATGTAGGGGGCGATGTTCATGATGAAGATATACATTTGCAATGTGTATCAAATTCATGCAGAATCTTACATCAGAATGGTATAGTTATGGCTTTTTAAAATTGCTTTCCTTTTATATGGTATTGCAAATATTTTAGTCGTTGGGAAATCCTGAAAATTCATCACGATCCGCTTTAGATTTATTTGCTCATCACAAAACGTGGGGAATGATTCGATAGCCTCTTCCCACCTCAAAAAGTGTGAGGGGATATATGTCCCCATTCCCCGGGAGTTACGCCCATATATGTGTATATATCTCATAATTGTGCAATTAGGATCTTATTTAGGCCTCACGATTTCGCTTTTAATATTTCTTTCGCAATGCAATCTCAGCTACGCTAATGTTTTAGATTATAGTGATAGTTCCTTTGCTATAGATACAAAGGCATTACGAAAAGAGTCCAGCAATTCTGTCTGCCATCTTGAAAAAATCCACTACTGCAGCCAGATAAAAAAAAAGCAGCCACCTCCACCAAACAACGGACGAGGAATGATTTTTTCACTTGCTAAGAGATCAAATGTCAACTTTAGACGATCAGAAAATTTGGAGCTGGAACCAGCTTCATTTTGAAGACCAATCTTTGGGGGAAACCAAGGTGAAACAGCTTTATAGCCAACGCCCATCTTTATTAAGCTATCAAGGTACCATCACCGGCTGGTACAAAAACTTATTTATACATACTAATGGGGACCGAATCCCTCACACAATGGTACAGGTTCACCGGTTGTTTTTAATGACTATATTATGTGCAAGATAAGAATCTATAATATCGGCAACCAACCAGCCAGACTTTAGCACTTGGACTGAGGACTTATCGACTGCCTCACTAACCCTGGATTCGGTCAAGTTCTTTTAACACCAGGAATTTACTGGAGCGCTTGGCACTGGATTTTGTTCCTCATTAGCACTAATTTGGAGTCTCACAGATAAAAATGACAAAAGGGAACGGGTGCTGCGGTCGGCCTGAAATGGAGACTTATCGCCACTCCGGCAGTTTCGTTATTGGCCGAGAGTGTATCACGCCGTCTGAGCATGTGTATTAGTTTGTTTTTTAATGTCTTTCGACAATCCCACAACAAACACACAAATCCGATGACCAAAATTAGACACTATTACTATGAGGCCATCCTAGGCGATGCGCGCGCGTGAAATTCTCCCATGACCGGTCAATATTACTGAAGTGCGCTCTCTCGCGCCCAGGTTGATTCAGCTGTGCGAGTGTAAATGGCCCCTCAGAATGGCGTCTCGTAAGATTTGTCTGTAACACGCTGGATAAGTCCAGCAAAGGAGCATTCTCAATTGTTTACGATTAAAACCCACATTTGTATTGAGTTAGGCTTCAGAGTGGAATCTTTCTAAAATGAGTCAAGCGAGCAAAACTTTGGCGAGATTTCAAACGTGTGGGTGCACAGGCCCCTATCACGCGGATGCACGCAGATGTGGATCTTTGCAACAGGGCCAGCCCGTTACGGGACGGATCCAGAAGCAATTTTTTGGAGCTCAAACTTGGGGTGTGGTGGGGGCAATTGTCCGTGTATGTGATATGTGATGGCTCCATGAGGAGCTTTTTTATTTGCGCTTTTTGAAGGAAAGGAAGTAGAACAAAAATTTGCTTTAACTCTCATTTGGTTGAAGAGAAATTTGGCCTATTTTTGTGAGGAGGCATAGCTACCATTGGCCCCCCTGGTTCCGCCCTTGTCTCTGGCAAAGAGGCACATGCCGAAATCCTGATGTAAATTATTTATTTCATACCCACTATAGAAAACAATTGCCAATCATAATTGCTGGTGTACGAGGGGCAGACTGGTTCTCATTTTGCGCGATTGTTTGTTGATACCTGTTAGGTTGTATGTTTGTTTGTTTGTTTGTTTTTTTGGCTAGTTTCTTCCTCCGTTGTAAACTGGTTACTTTAATAGCTGTAGGAACATTCATTTCAACACTAGATAAAAAAATGCCATGCCCGCTCGTATGGAATTCCATATCTGCCGTACGGTGCGTCGTGCGTCGCCCGTCGTGCGTCGCCCGTGTTTTTTTGTTTTTGTTTGTCACGATTGCGCAGTGGTATTTTTAACTTTGACCCTTGATCGTTTCACATTTACATGTCCTTGTTCGATCGATCCACCGTGCCTGACTCTCATTTTAGCAATAGAACTAGAAGATGTACATGTATTCGTTTTTGCAGTTGCGCCAAACTCCAATTGAAAGAAGAAATAATATCCAGACATCGGTTAAGTAACGTGTATATGAAATAATACCATTTTGGTTACATAAATAAATTAACAAAATAGACTTTTGTCAGGGTAGATTGTTTTTCTCGATAACTTAATTACTCTAGACGTAACTTTACTCGTTAACAGCCTGCCTTTAGGTCTATAGCCTATGTAATATTTCTGTCTGTCCCTGCACGATATCCCACAGAACGGAATGTAAATAATAAATTATTTACGATGTTTGATTTCTTAA